TAATTTGAAGGAATACACATACTCTGATGTTTACAGCAACATTATCTACAATAAGTGAAAATAGTCTAATGTCTATCGACTGATGGATTAAGATGTGATATATATAAAAATATAAATATAAATATATATACATATATAACAAAGAATAAAATCTTACCATTTGCAATGACATGGGTGGACCTAGAATGTAGAGGCAAACGTGATAAACACTACACTACAGAAACATGGCCGATGGAGCTAGAGTGTATTATGCTGAGCAAAATAAATCAGAGAAAGATAAATCCATATGATTACATTCATATGTAGACTTAAGAAACAAAACAAATGAACGTAAAGAAAAAGAGAAGCAAACCAAGAAACAGACTCTTGGGTCACCTGAGTGGCTCAGTTGGTTAAACCTCCGACTTCAACTCAAGTCATGATCTCACTCTTCATGGGTTCGAGCCCTGCATCAGGCTCTATGCTGACAGCTAGCCTGGAGCCTGCTTCAGATTCTGTGTCTTCTCTCTCTCTGCCCTTCCCCCACTAGTACTCTGTTTCTCTCTGTCTCTCAAAAAACAAATAAGCATTAAAAAAATAAAGAAACAGACTTAACTATAAAGAGCAAACTGATGGTTACCACAGGGGAGGTGAGTGGGGGGATGGGTTAAATAGGTGATGAGAATTAAGGAGTGCACTTGTGATGATCACTGCGTGTTGTATGTAAGTGGTGAATTACTAAATTTTATACCTGAAACTAATATTACATTGTATGTTAACTAACTGGGATTTAAGTAAAAACTTAGAAAAAGTAATCCAGAAATGACTTTTATAAAATTGATAAGGTGATTCTAAAATTTATATAGAAGTGCATAGGGCCAAGTTAGAAAACCTTAACAAAAAAGAATATATTTAAAGGTCAGAAAATTCTTATTTCCAGTATTATTATAAAAATACAAGTCTTTTTGTACTGTACTGTAACACTGGTACAATGATAGACGAATGGAATAAATTATTGTCAGGAACAAACTAAAATGTATTAATGACAAATGATAACTGTATAACAAAAGTAAAAGAATATTCTTTCCAGAATAGTTCTATTCAAATGCTTATTGTAAAACAATGGGCCTTCTAAAAATGCTATAGGAAAACGTTCTTATCTTTTGATTAGAGATCTTTTTTTGCTTTTTTAAAAATAGTTTATTGTCAAGTTGGTTTCCATATAACACCCAGTGCTCATCCCAAGAAGTGCCCTCCTCCATGCCCATCACCCCCGTTCCCATCTCCCCCACCCCCTCAGCCCCCAGCTTGTTCTCCGCATTCAAGAGTCTCTCATGGTTTGCCTCCCCACCTCTCAACTATTTTTCCCCTTCTCCCGTTTCATCCTGTTAACTTCCTCTTAATCCACCTATATGTGCAAACATATGGTATTTGTCCTTCTCTACCTGACTTATTTCACTCAGCATAACACCCTCTAGTTCCATCCATGTTGCTACACATGGCCAGATTTCATTCTTTCTCATTGCCATGTAGTATTCCATTGTATAAATATACCAGATCTTCTTGATCCATTCATCAGTTGATGGACACTTATGTTCTTTCCATGTTTTGGCTATTGTTGATAGTGCTGCTATGAATGTCAGGTCCATGTATTCCTTTGAAACAGTATTTTTGTATCCTTTGGGTATATACCTAGTAGTGTAATTGCTGGATCATAGGGTAGTTCTATTTTGACTCTTTGAGGAACCTGTTTTCCAGAGTCACTACACCAATTTGCATTCCCAACATTGTAAGAAGGTTCTCCTTTTTCCACATCTTCACCAACATTTGTTGTTTCCTGTTCTATTAATTTTAACCATTCTACAGATGTGAAGTAACATCTCATTGAACTTTTGATTCGTATTTCTCTGATGGTGCATGATGCTGAGCATCTTTTCATGTATCAGCCATCTGGATGTTTTCTTTGGAAAAATGACTATTCATAGTTTCTGCCCACTTTTCAACTGGGTTATTTGCTTTTCAGGTGTTGATTTTTCTAAGTTCTTTACATATTTTGGATACTAACCCTTTGTCATATATGTTATTTGCAAATATCTACTCCCATTCATAGGTTGATTTTTAGTTTTGTTGATTGTTTCCTTCACTGTGCAGAAACTTTTTATCTTGATGAAGTCCCAATAGTTTATTTTAGCATTTGTTTCCCTTGTCTCAGGAGATGTATCTAGTAAGAGTTTGCTATGGCCGATATCAAATAGGTTACTGTCTGTGTTCTCCTGGAGGATTTTGATGGTTTCCGTCTCACATTTAAGTCTCTCATCCATGTTGAATTTATTTTTGTGTGTGGTACAAGAAAGTGATCCAGTTTCATTCTCCTGTATGTTGCTGTCCAGTTTTCCCAATACCATATGTTGAAGAGATTGTCTTTTTCCCATTGGATATTTATTCCCTCTTTGTTGACGATTAGTCAGCCTTATAGTTGTGGGTTTCTTTGTTTTCTGTTCTCTTCCATTGATTTATATGTCTGGTTTTTTTTTAATTTCATGTTTTTTATTTATTTCTGAGAGAGAGAGAGAAAGAGAGCATGAGCAGGGGAGGTCAGAGGGAGAGGGAGATACAGAATCTGAAGCAGGCTCCAGGCTCTGAGCTAGCTGTCAGCACAGAGCCCGACGCGGGGCTTGAACCCACAAACCATGTGATCATGACCTGAGCCGAAGTCGGATACTTAACTGACTGAGCCACCCAGGCGCCCCAATTATATGTCTGTTTTTGTGCCAATACCATCCTGTCTTCATCACTACAGCTTTGCAGTATAGCTTGAAGTCTGGAATTGTCTCCAGCTTTGCTTTTCTTTTTCAAGATTGCTTTGGCTTTTCAGGGTCGTTTGTGGTTCCATACAAATTTTAGGACTGTTCTAGTTCTGTGAAAAATGCTGGTGGTATTTGATAGAGAGTGCATTAAATGTGTAGATTTGCTTTGAGTAGTATAGACATTTTAACAACGTTTGTTCTTCCAATCTTTGAGCATGGAATGTTTTTCTTTGCATCACTTTCAATTTATTTCATCCATGTTTTATAGTTTTCAGAGTACAGATCTTTTAATAAAAGAAATGGAAATAATCATATGATTCAGTAGATGCGGAAAAAGCATTTGACAATGTAAGCATCCATTCTTTATTTAAACATCTTTTTAATGTTTATTCACTTTTTTGAGAGAGAGAGAGAGAGGTAGAGAGGAGACACAGAGAGACAGATAGTGAGCAGGGGAGGTGCAGAGAGAGAGGGAGACAAAGAATCTGAAACAGGCTCCAGGATTTGAGCTGTCAGCACAGAGTCAAACCCATGAACCATGAGATCATCTGAAGTCAAATGTTTAACTGAATAAGCCACCCAGATGCCCCTGTACAGCATCTATTCTTGGTGAAAAACCTCAGCAAAGTATGGAGAGAGGGAACATACCTCAACATAATAAAATCCATATACAAAAGACCCACAGTTAATATCATCCTCAATGGGGAAAATCTGAGAACTTTTCCTCTATGGTCAGGAACTAGTTAGGGATGTCCACTCTTACTACTGTTATTTAACATAGTACTGGAAGTCCTAGATTCAACAATCAGATAGCAGAAAGAAACAAAAGTCCTGCAACTTGGCAGAGAAGAAGTCAAACTTTCAATATTTGCAGATTGTATGGTACTCTATGTAGAAAACCCAAAAGAGTCTACCAAAAAGTTGCTAGAACTGATAAATGAATTCAGTAAAGTCACGGGATACAAAACCAATGTACAGAAATGTGTTGCATTTTCATACACCAGTAATGAAGAAGCAGAAACAGAAATCAAGGTATTGATCCCATTTACAATTGTACCAAAACCATAAGATACCTAGGAATAAACCTAACCAAAAAGGTAAAAGATCTGTACTCTGTTACATAGTTTTTAAAAATAACTCAGTGTACTCCCAGCACAGTAGGATAAAAAAAATAATTTGGAAAGTGGGAAGATACAACAAGGGAGAAAAATATGACTCTAGGTTATTTCTCCAGCACATAACTTTTAATGTATTGGTATATTTTGATTGCCAAGATCACAGTGCAACCTTAACTATTTATTGACTCAGCCATTTTTCCAAAGAAAGACTTCCATCCAGGTGATTACTTCGTGATAGGTTTCCAAATTTAGGTATGCTGTTAGAACCAACTTCACAAAAGTTTAGACCCTGAAGTTGACCTTACATGATAATTCCTAAGTATTCTTTTTCAGTATAACTCTTCTTTAGCCATGTTCATATATTTTTCCTGTAATTGAATCTAGTTGTAGTTTTTAAATCAAGTAAAAGTTTCAGATCACATAAACACTCAAATGAAAAGAGACCAAGTCTCAATCCTGGTATTTCTGCAAATTTAACCATTTCCTCCTCCCCAGCAATAATGTCTTCATGCTAAAGGAACCTGGGAAACCACTTTTCCTCCCCTCATTTTACAAAATATCTTGTTATTCATTTCCATTACAGATGCCTGCTTTTTTTTTTTTTTTTTACAATTAAATAACATAAAGAGGGCATAAAATATTTTTGACTAAGTCAAAGAATTTCTATTTGCTGGTAATTTTCTGTGACAATGGAGGCTGTGGTTTGTAATGTAACCTGTGAGAAAAAAAAAAGTGTTATGTTCCACATCACTAGGTATGTCCCTACAACATGATTATGATTTTAAGATAAACTTGAAAGCTATGTTATTATCATAAACTAAGGATATTTTAATTTAGCATAAGTAGAATTTCCTTTCCTTTAGGAAAAGGCACCGGTTAAAAGATTATGATATGTAAGTTTGTGCATCAATTTTGTCATTATCTAGATACACAATATATGGAGACTTAATGATTGCTAATATCCCTTCCAACAATGAGGCTTACTAATTCTACAATACAAATATTTTATTATAATGCCTATTATTTAATAACAAGTAAATAGTTCTCCATTAGTATGGTTACTTTATGAAGTGTTTTGATATTCTTATTTGTATAGAAACTGATATAGAACACCTGAAAAATCCCATTGAAAGACGTATATTGGTGAAGGAAAAGAAGATACAAGCACAGAATCTCCCTGGTAAGAACAAGAGTTTTGCAAGCCTAATATTTCTGTTTTTAAAAAACTTCTTCAGAGTTTAATGAAGATTGGGTCTAAATGACATGAGTAGCTATATGTTATTACTATCCAGATAAAGTCTTCATAAATATTCTCACAATTCATTATACTCTGGTGTTTACTAGAAATAAAAAGTGAGCTAGATATTAGTTTTAGAACTCATCCATTTAGAAACTAGACCATAAAAAAATGCTATAGTGACCTTACAATATGATTGGTGAAAGTATGTCCAATAATATACTATACCTCATGAATATAATAGCAACAATAATTTAAGATAGTTAATTCATTAGTTACCATTTCCCTTTATTTGATGGAAATGTCAGGTATATTTATGGTATATCAGCTGTAATGGTACATTGACTGTGTTACGTAGTTTGGAGATTATGCTACTGCCTTTACTCATGTCACAGTGATAAACACACTGCCATTGCCTTCTAGTGTTATACCAAAGAGGCAGACAGCTTAACAGATATATATATATATATATACAGTCAAAGAGAGCCCTGTTAAAATCAGTGTAATCTGAAGGTGACAGTGTGCACATGTCCAAAGGCTATGACCTTTGAGAATAACGATGAAGGGAAAGATATCATTTTGAAAAAGACAGCATGGAAATCCAGTAGTTGAAAAATACAGAAACTAAAATTTTAAAATTCACTAGAATTTCTCAGTAAATTTATGCTGTCAGAAGAAAGAATGGGCAGGGCACCTGGATAGCTCAGATGGTTAAGCGTCCTACTTTGGCTCAGGTTGTGATCTTACAGTTCATGAGTTCAAGTCCTGCTTGGGCTCTGTGCTGTCATCACAGAGCTTGGAGCCTGCTTCAGATTTGTGTCTCTCACAGTAGTGCTGAGGCCAAAGTACTTTGAATTATAAGAATCCAGGCTACAGAGGGACAAAGTCGTCTCCATATGTGTCCATATGTGTCACTCATATGTGGATCTTGAGAAACTTAAGACCATGAAGGAAGAGAAGAGGGAAAAATAGCTACAAACAGAGAGGGAAGGAGGCAAACCATGAGACTCTTAAATACAGAGAACAATCTGAGGGTTGATTGGGGAGTTGGGGGAGAGGGGGAAATGGGTGATGGGCATTGAGGAGGGCACTTGTTGGGATAGGCACTGGGTATGGTATGTAAGCGATGAACCACGGAAATCTACCCCCCTCCAAAAAAGAGCACAGTTTACATGCTATGTTAGCCAATTTGACAATAAATTATATTAAAAAATAAAACAACAATTAAAACTGAAATTAACAATAAAAGTTTAAGGTAGAAAATACTATCCATACATACTTGTTCATATTCTTTCAGTTTCTCTATAGGGCACAAAGTTTTATAAATAATGAGACATTTTTATAATAAATGAATATATTTTTATATTTATATTTATGTGTGGAAAGAGAATAGGAATTTAGAGTTATATACAGAACTCTATATCAAAAATATGTTGTAACATTTCTAAATCGCACTGGAATTTAATGCTATAAATCTTAAGTAGATTCTACAACTGTGCTGACAGTTAACATAATTTTAAGAATATTTTGATAACCATTAATTAAACATTTAAAATGGGCAAATTGTATACTATATGTATATTTAAAAAATAACTCAAGAAATTCCAAGCCATTTAGGATTTTTTTAAAAAAAACTTAAAGCAATGGAATGATATTGTGAAGGAGGAAAATTGTAATTCTTAATGTATCATAAATTTCTCCACCACTTACCTTTTATTCTCCTACTGTTTAACCTAATTTATACTCAGAGACTAAAATCATTCCTTCCCTGCTTATATAAGAATCTCTTGCTTTCTCAATTCATGTGAATCAGTTATTCTAATTACATCTGTTAGAGAAAGACCTATAGGTCTGCTAATATTCTCCAGTTATGTGATGCTAATGCTCGTATTACTTTCACAAATGTCATTACTTAAGTATTTAAAACCTGTTCTGGCCAATGCAATTTGGTTTTGGTTTTAGTAATAATGCCTCATCTGGTCTCTGCCTCTGTTTAGGTTACAGTGGCAAGTATATATTTTCTCTCATGGTGATGTTGAAAACTTTAAAATTCATGGGCTCAGTCATTTCTCCAAAGCAAAACTTTCAATCTATATATGGATCATCAATATATTTCCAACTTCAGTTGTATGCTATATTAGAACCAATTTTGCCCACAAAACTTTCCTCATTGGTAACCTAGAGTCACCAATTCTAGTTATTTATTTTGCAGTGTGGAATTATCTTAAATAAGTTTCTTTTTATTTTTATTCTGTCATTAGACCTACATAGTAGTTTCCATATCCAGGAGAAAAAAAACCTGAAAATCATGTAAAGACTCAAATGAAAAGGGATGCAATGTCACTGCTCACATTATTGCAAATTGCCTATTTCCTCCTCCCCAGCTAAAAGGTCTACATGCTAAGAAGACCTTGAGAGAGCACTTTATCTCATTCCACATGTTATTTGTTATTCTCTTCCATCACTAATGCCTAGTTGATTCAAAATGACATCACCTAATAAAACGGGTGAGCATTAAAGTATTTCTAGACACGTCAAAGAACTTCTGCCTCACAATAATGTCTGTGACTCCAATGACCATAGTTTGTAGCTGACTTGGGGAAAATGTTATGTCCTGCCTCACCAGATTAATATGTTTTTAATATGTACACGAAGGCTATATTAACTTAAATGCTCTGGGGTGATTTAAACTGCAAAAGAATTTATTTATATTTCCTGGGAAAAGCCCTAGATGAAGCCTCAGGATGAGCATCAATTTTGTCATTATCCAGATATGCCATCTTTGTCAAATCACTAAACATCTCTATGCTTCAATATGATGGGGCTTACATGATTACTAATAGCTCTTCGGATTCTAAGGTACTATGTTTCTGCAACCCAGACATTTCACTATAATTCTCCTCCTATAATAAATGCTAATTAGAGGAATACTAGGCACACAAACACACGTGTTAACGTTTACCTTACAAAGTGTTTTGGAACTGTTTATTTCTATAGATACTGATAAAGAATACCTCCTAGGTACTACTGGAAGAAGTACAATAAAGAGAGAAATCAAGACAGAGTCAAAGAGTCATCCTGGTAAGAAAGAAAGAATTTCATATCTATTTAAGGTTTATTTATTTCGTCTGGAGTTTAAATTTGAATCTATGTGCTATTATTACATGATAAAACGTCTTTGTTAAGTCTCTCCTATAATTAGTGGAGAGACTATACCAGTTACTATAAATGGAAAATTAGCCTCATATTATAAATTTTAGAACTCATCCATTAAAATATTATCCATAAAATATAATGTGAAGTCGAGCTTAGAATATGCTTGATGGAAACATTTTAAATACTGTTCTATTCACTTTCTTTTTTTCTGGTTACATAGGATAGTTTCTTTGTATTTACAAAAGCAGAAATTCTACCTTATGAAATCAGTAGGAAGAGGAATTTAGCAGATAGTTATTTCTTTGGTTACTAATTACCCCGTTATGATTAAACTATCAAGCAAATTTGTAATATCTCAGGTGAAGTAAAACCTTTAGTTTTGTTACATAGTTCAGTTTATACTACTGCCTTTTGTCCCGGTTGAACAGTATTTTACATATTTCTTATTGATCCTTGTGTGATACCAAAGGAGGCAGAGAACTTAAGAGAGAAACAAGAGAAAGAAATAATCAAGAAAAAAATAAAAAAGAAATAGTCAAAGAGATCCTTTAAAAAAAAAAACTATCATCCAAAGGTGACTATATACATGGCCAAGCCTATGCCCTAAGAGAAGCAACATGAGAAGTTTCACACTGAAGGGAATAAAAAATGGTCCAGGGGAGGTGCCAAGATTTGGGAACAGCATGGAAGGGTTTTTTTTTGTGTGTGTCTCATGTCCATGAAATACAGCCAGATCAACACTAAACCATCCTGCACATCTAGAAAACCGATTTGAGGATTAACACAACAATCTGTACAACCTAAACCACAGAACTCAGCAGGTACATGGAACAGAGGGGTGAACTCGGGGAGAAAGAAGCTGCGGAGGGCAGGGAGCTGTTTTTGCTGGCGGAGAGAGGATGGTGATGGAGGGGAGAGTATGGGAAAAGCAACCCCCCACAAAGCAGCTGGAGAGAAAGTGGAAAAGTGGAAACAGTCACAGGGACTGAACAAAAAAGAAAGAATTGAGAGGGTTTAAATTCCATTAAGACTTTATAAACAGGGGGAGTGCAGAGTCTGAAACTCTGCAGCTTGATATGTGGTGGTGCTCTGGTGGGAATGGCAAATCCCTAGGAGCAGAGTGAAGTCCAGGGGGTCCTTGGACCACAGGAGGAGAGGGGGTTCCCATGCTAAGAGGACATTTGGTAGAGTCTAAGTGGCCAATCCATAGGTAAAGGTCCCAGCAGACCCCAGAGAACAACCACATTTGCTGGTGCTGGAGCAACGTCATTAAGGGTGAAGCCTGGTGCCAGATGTGTGTTGTGATTTTCCATAATCCCTGAAACACTTCTGCTACATGATCGGTTGAACTTTTTCTGGGGCAGGCTGGCACCAAGCCCTAGTCTCTGGGCTTGGCAGCAGCACAGTCCTGTGAACATTCCTGGGTGTGGCTAGCACCCAGACATTGCTTGGTGAGACCTTCCTGCAGAAGGCCAGAATGGGCCAAAACCATAGTCCCTCAGAAGTGAGGGGTTGGGAAACACAGCTGCATCTGAGATAAAACTCAAGAGGAAGGTACCACCCAGCAACTGATGGCTTGATCACAAACAGTGTAAAAGCAAGGATTGGAAGGAAACCAGAGGCAAAGGATGGGTGAGCGATTGCTGATCAGGGAGAACAGAGTTCTGATAATAGAGATTGGGTAGCTGGATGATGCCATTTTAACCCTTCCAGTGCATGCACATACACACCTACAAGCACCACAACAGTCCACCCCAGTATGCTAAGCAGCACCATCTAGCGGAGAATGAAGCTGTACACTAAGCCCTGCCCAACTGGGCCAACCTCACTATTCAGGAACACAAGTGTCTCTGCCTGTTTAGCTTAAAGACTATAAAGGACTTCATACTTTAACTTCTAGGGGAAAACAATGCAATTTCAATCGTATTTCAGTCTGTTCACTGGTCCATCTATTCAATTTTGTTTCTATTTCTTTTTCATTTGTTTTCTTTTTCTTAAATACAGAAACAGAAAGAAATTATTTTTATTTTCAACTTTTATAAAAAAATATTTTTCTTTAATTTTTTCTACTATATTTTTTACCTTTGTAAAATTTTCAAATTCTACTTTACTTATATTTCATTTCATTGTGTTCATTTTTTCAAATTTTCTAACATTATCCTCCCCCCCCTACTTTTATATCTAATCTATCAAGCCCCTTTCAACACCCAGACCAAAACACACCTAGGATATAGCATTATTTATTTTATTTGTGTGTGTGTGTGTGTGTGTGTGTGTGTGTGTGTGTGTGTGTGTGTTGTTTTAAATTTTTAAATTTTATTTTTTTCCTAATTCCTTTTCTTCCTTCAAAATGATGAAATGAAGGAATTCGCCCCAAAATAAAGAGCAGGAAGAAATGACAGACATGGACTCAATCAACACAGATACAAGCAAGATGTCTGAACCAAAATTTAGAATCACAATAATAAGAATACTAACTGGGGTCAAAAATAGAATAGAATCCTTTCTGTGGGGATAAAAGAAATAGAAGCTAGTTCGGATGAAATAAAAAATGCTATAACTGAGCTGCAATCTCAAATGGATGCTACAGCGGCAAGGATGGGTGACACACTGCAGTGAATCAGCAATATAGAGGACAAACTTATGGAGAATAATGAAGTAGATTAAAAGAGGGAGACTAAGGCAAAAGAGCATGACTTAAGAATTAGAGAAATCAGGGGCGCTTGGGTGGCTTAGTCGGTTAAGCGTCCGACTTTCGCTTAGGTCATGATCTCGTGGTTCGTGGATTCGAGCCCTGCGTTGGGCTCTGTGCTGACTGCCAGCTCAGAGCCTGGAGCCTGTTTCAGTCTGTGACTCCCTCTCTCTCTCTGACCCTCCCCTGCTCACGCTGTCTCCCTCTCTCTCCTAGAAATAAATAAAAATAAATACATTAATTTAAAAAAATTAAAAAAAAAAAGAATTAGAGAAATCAATGACTCACTAAAAAGGAAAAGCATCAGAATCATAGGGGTCCCAAAACATCAAAAGAGAGGAAAAGGGGTAGAAGGGTTATGTGAGAAATCATAGCAGAAAACTTTCCTAATCTGGGGTAAGACACAAACATCAAAATCCAGAAAGCACAAAGGACTCCCATTATATTCAACAAAAAATTGTCCATCAACAAAGCATATCATAGTCAAATTCACAAATGCTGAGGCAAGGAAAGAATCATGAAAGCAGGAAGGAAAAAGAAGTCCTTAACCCACAAAGGAAGACAGATCAGGTTTGCAGCATACCTATCCACAGAAACTTGGCAGGCCAGGAAGGAGTGGCAGAATATATTCAATGTGCTGAATTGCAAAAATATGCAGCCAAGAATTCTTTATCCAGCAAGGCTGTCATTCAAAATAGAAGGAGAGATTAAAAGTTTCCCAAACAAGCAAAAATTAAAGAGTTAGTGACCACTAAACCAGCTCTGCAAGAAATCTTAACAGGGACTCGCTAAGGGGAGAAACTCCAACTCTACAAGAATCAGCCCTCAATAAAAGGATCAAGATCATACCATGCATATTTTCAGAGCACAATGCTATGGAACTCAAAATCAACAACAAGAAAAAATTTGGAAAGGTAACAAATACTTGGAGACTAAAGAACACCCTGCTAAAGAATGAATGGGCTAACCAAGAGGTTAAAGAGGAAATTAAAAAATACATGGAAGCCAATGAAAATGATAACACCAGAGCCCAAAAACTCTGGGACACAGCAAAGGTGTCCATAAGAGAAAAGTATATAGCAATCAAGGCCTTCCTAAGGAAGGAAGAAAGGTCTCAGGTACACAACCTAACACTACACCTTAAAGAGCTGGAAAAAGAACAGCAAATAAACCCTCAAACCAGCAGAAGACAAGAAATTAAAAAGATTAGAGCAGAATCAATGCTATCAAAACAACAACAACAACAACAAAAACAAAAAACAACAGCAACAACAAAATCCCAGGAGAACAGATCAATGAAATCAGAAGTCGGTTCTCTGAAAGAGTTCACAAAATTGATAAAGTACTAGCCAGTTTGATCAAAAAGAAAGAGAAAAGGACCCAAAAAAATAAAATCAAGAATGAAAGAGAGATCACAACCAACACAGCAGAAATAAAAACAATGATAAGAGAATATTATGAGCAATTATATGCCAATAAAATGAGCAATCTGGAAGAAATGGACAAATTCCTAGAAACATATAAACTACCAAAACTGAAGCAGGAAGAAGTAGAAACTTTGAACAGACCCATAACAAATAAAGAAATCAAATTAATAATCAAAAATCTCCCAAAAAACAAGAGTGCAGGGCCATATGGATTTCCAGGGGTATTCTACTAAATAAAGAAAAGTTAACATCTATTCTCTTGAAGCTGTTCCAAAAAATAGAAGTGGAAGGAAAACTTCCAAACTCTTTCTATGAAGCCAGCATTACCTTGATTGCAAAGCCAGACAAAGACCCCACTAAAAAGGAGAGCTATAGACCCATTTCCCTTATGAACATGAATGCAAAAATCTTCAACAAGATATTAGCCAGCTGGAACCAACATTTTTTTTCCTTTTTTTTAGTTTATTTCTTTAACTTTAAAAGTTTTGTTTGTTTGTTTTCTTTTTTTTCTTTTTCTTTTTCTTTTTTTTTTTTTTTACAAATAGTTTATTGTCAAATTAGTTTCCACATAACACTCAGTGCTCATCCCCACGAGTGCCCTCCTCCATGCCCCT